CTCTTGTCTGACAGTAGCTCTCAGCTTTTTTTCAGCTCTGCAGATATCTTAAACTTTGCATCATCTGAGCCTTCCTTTCTGCTTTTGAGTCACAGAGAACATGGTGGACCTCCAGCGCTGTTTGAAGCTCCTCGTCCAATACCCAGACTTTCCTTCAATCCTGATTCTCTTCTTTTGGTGTTTACGTGCTCGGCTTCAGGACTGTTTGGGTTTTCTTCAGTTGAATGAAGTTCGGTTCACTTTACCCATTTAACAGGACAGTAACAGCCTAGCGAGGCAGAGGACGTGGCGGAGCAGTGAGGCTGCTGGACAGGTGACGTCTGGAGGTCCTGAGCTTGACTTGCAGCCTCCTGAGTTCTCCGGGTCTGTGTCGCAGCAGATCGTTCCGTCATAAAAAGCCGTGGTGGATTGATCCAGGATGAAAAACAAAAGATTTTAATAAAAATAAAAAATAAAAACTGGTGGCGCAGCAACAAAACCTGCCTCAACACAAACCAGAGCCACTGTCACTTTCTCCTGTTTTACCTGCTTCCTGTCAGCTTGTTTATTTGTTTGTTTGTTTGTTCATCAAAATAATTAAATTAATCTGCACCCTGGCTCTATCTCTAGCCCAAAGTAACCTGTGACCAGAATGAGGTCCACACCTGCTGCTGAGGTCCACCTTAATCGTGTCTTCTTACTGCAGTCTTGAATCGACAGAAACCGCGAGGCAGGAGCAGACTAAGCTGTTTGGCAAGGTTGATTGGATCCATGATGAAAATGTGCAGTTTCCCGACTCTTCATCATTAATTTAAAACCTTAACATGTAACAGAGTTTGTGATTGTTTAACCCGCTTTGTCGTGAGGTTTGTCATCCAGATGTGTTCAGTTACAGATGTTTTATGGGTTTGTAGCCTCCATCTCTTTATGGAAGAAAGAAGCAATAAAGCCTTATTTTCTAATTTTGTGCTATGTCCAGTTACATTTATGGTCAAACTGGTTTTCAGAATCACTCCACCGTGTTTTTATTTTGGTCCCAGCCGTTGTGAAGTGTAACTGTATCGGCAGCCTGCTTTAATTATGACCTCTGCGTGGATCTGAACGTTTTCGGGGCTGAGAAAGCCACGTTTGGGAGCACTCTGATCTTTGCTACATGCTTTTGGCCTCCTCCTCTTTAGTGACAGCGTTTTCACGCAGCAGGGAAGTGGCTGAGTTATGGTTTGCAGACGTCTCGCTGAGATGCGGTGTGCAGCTGTGGAGCTAAAGACATGAAGACGAGGACAGAGGAAGAGCAGAAGGCTGAGAGGAGTGAGCCATAATTCAGCCGTTTACTCTGTGGCTTAATTCAATTCAATTCAAAAATACTTTATTGATCCCAAAGGGAAATTGATTAAATGATGCCCATCAATCTGAATGATGTTTAAAACTTCAATTTCACTCATGAAATTCATTAGTGATGCAGATAAAACATTTTTCTCCATTTCAAAGTCGTTAAATAGACACGCCAGCGCCTGTAGTGGCTTCAGATTTGCCTGGATGCAGTCGGTCGGTGACACCCTTAACTGATTGTTTGCTTGAGGACCGGCCCGTTTCCCTCCAGAACATCAGACGGATTCCTGCGTGTTGTGGGGGTTCCGAACAAACAGGACTTGGAGAGCACTGCCGAGTGCTTCTACTCTTAAATTCTCTGCATCACACGATGCCACAGCTCATCATCAGGTTGTGGCTCTAAAGTTCTGGACAAGCAGACACTGGATCAAGCAGAACCCGTAGCAGTCCTGGAGAGCTGATTTAAGTCCAGCTGAGTTACACATCGCCACCATCTTTGCCTTTTCTGGAGTTTAACTGAATATTTAGGTTAGAACACAAGTGTATTTGCGGTTTATATTTCATCAGCCAACCCTTTACCTGCTCCTCAGTCTTACTGGAACCAGACTTGGTGTTGAGAAGACAAAATGACCTTTTATGCTGGTGAAGGTTGAGTTTTGTGTTGTTTCGAAGGCTATATTTGCAGAATCGACACAATCAACAAAAAATGATTATTGAAGTAATTTTGTTACATTCTGCTTTGCAAACATGCTTTTATTTTGTTGTGTTGTCTAGTACGCAGACTTCCTCCCCTTCTGGGGGCTAAACCCAGCTGCTTATGTCTGAAATAGTTGATGCAAGCGAAGATGGCAGAATGAGGGCGAAATACAGTGTATGCTTCTATGATGACCTTCACGTATTCTCAAAACTCATTTTATGCAAACAGACTTCCTGTTTGGACCTCCAGGCTCCCATAGCAGCTTTTCTCAGCCTTTATAGCATCGCTGCCTGCTCGTATTTTGTCCACGCCGCTAAATATTTAAGTACATTGAATTTAATTAATTGGTTTCTTTGTTTTTAAAATAGCTTCTAAAATATTTTGTTCTCCTCTTAAATCAGCCTGATGTTGAATATTCTGGATATCCAAGTTGTCAAAATTACAAAACGACTCAACTCTGCCACCCGCTGATAGACGTTGGTGTCTGCAGTCTCCCTAAACTTTTTTTTATTGATGCTCATTCAAAATATAAAACTCTAGCCAACAAGAATGGGGAAACTAAAGTGAACACAGATCACAGATCACGCTGTTAAAGCTTTTATTTTGAGGAGTCACAGCCCACCTCCTGGTGTGTCCTCTGTTTTCTAACTTGATGAGTAAAATAATTATGATTTTTTTTTATTTATCCATAGCTGAGATGCTCTGGCATAAACTCTAAAAATGTTTTGCCTCCATATAGAGTAGTTTTTAATTTACCTGCCAAAGAAAACTTATGGAAACCCTTCAGTTTTGCAGCAAAAAGCTTAAAAAAGAGCGTTGCTCTAGATTTTACATGCAGAACGTTTTCTGAGGAGCTGATCTCATCGTTGAGCTGAAAACCGCCCGGCCCTCTCCATCCTCCGGGTTTCGTGGGTTTTGTGAATGCTCGACATGCTTGATGTTGGTGCAACCAGAAGGTCTCCTATCGATGTGTCACCAGGATTCGCTCATGCTTTGGTTTGCATGAATTGATCGTTCCTCATCTTTAGTTCTTCGCTAATCGAATAAAGTTGGCCAGACAAAATAAAAAGCATCTTGGCGTCGTGCAGCTTTCTCCGAACCATCTGAATGGTTTTTGTTTGTTTTGCAGCTGGTAGCAACGAGT